TCAGTTCCTCCCCTGGGGAACAATTTCCCTTCGCTCCAAACCTGAGAATTGCTTGCAATGTTTGTGTGTTTTAGCCAATAGTGCTCTCCAGCTGCCTRAGATGTGTCTGGGACACAGAGGGCCATGGATCATTTATCACCAAAATTGGGGCAAATCTGAGGGCACCTGATTTATTTTGCTTTAGATGTKGATGAAAGAGGAAAACTCCTGAACCCAGAAATCAACCTAAACATCAACAGAGGGAAAAACAGTCCTGGGCCATGCTATAAAGTGTGTTATTAATTAAATGCAATGTAAACTAAATCAAATCACATTAATTTTGATTAAATGCAGTAGGAATCAGACACARGGCTGTGTGGCAGTCCCCTTCTGAGAATCCCATAAGTCGATCCCCAGGCTGTARGGGAACCCCATGGGGTGTTCTCACACAGTCCTGTTAATTACCTGTTTTGATCACCTCCTCTGAAGAAGGTTCCTTGTTCACCACAGTCCCCATCATTTTCGTTATCCTATTTATCCTATAGTAAATTTGGCTGGTGCCACTCAGTGCCAATGTGGTTCTCATTATCTTTCAAACCATTTTAATTCCACACAATTTCTATAATTCCAATTCAGACTTTTTTTCCCACACCRTAATCCCTCTCCTTAATTAGTAAAAAAGCCTCTTTTTGTCACTCGTYCATTTTGCCAACATAAACTGAATACCTCTAGTAGCCTTCTGCCCTGAAAATGATCCTCTCATTATAATTTCTGAAAATTAAACCCTGCCCTTTCATCTCATAGCTCCTGTTGAGCTGTGCTAGAAATTATTTTACTTTATTCTAATTAGGTCTTGTCCACAGCAGTAACTTTGCCTAAGAAAGCATTCTCTTTTTCTCTATTTTTTTTTTATTTTTTTCTTTTTCTTTTTCTCCTTTTATCTTTTTCTCTTCTTCTCTTTTTTCTTTCCTCCTTTTCTCTTTTTCTGCATATACTTTACTATTTTGCCTCCCATAATATTTCAATTGCTTTTGTCAAAGAGCTCCAGAATTGTAATTTTTTTTTGACCCCCACAACTCGGATTGTGCTCTGCAGTGTTTGGCATCTTAGGTGCAGTAGGAATTAGCAGTTTTGAGTCATGCAAGTGCCAAAATTTAGCTTTACAGGGAAAACATTTCTTTCTCAGCTAATTGAGTAGGTGGGTTATGAATGAGGGGATGGAAAGCTTGGAAAACAAAAGGAAGTGACAAGAGAGAAGTTGCTGTGCAAAACCAATGGTGATAAGGGATTTGGCAGCTGAACTGAAGCAATAATGATCTGAGATTCTATTGAGGGCAGATGTCTCTTGTCAGGAAATAAAAACAGGCCTTTTGAGGCCCTCCTTATATTTTTTTGGGTCTTGATAAGAAGGAAAGATGAATTGCTGTTGTGAGAGCAGGGACTGGGAAATTCCCTGTCACTTTTGTCTCGTTGCAGCATTCTTTTCCTCTGGAATTAGTTTTATTTGGTGACATTTAATGCTATTTTTAGTCAGTGGGTTTGTCAATGAGGATAGTTTAAAATGTCTGARAGTTGCCATTGCTCAGATGTGGAGGGAATGCTCCTGGTTGGAWCCAAACCCTTTGGAAAACCTCCAGCCATAACTTTTTAATCCTGAGTTGTCAARCAATTGTTAGCTTAGGAGGGTGTGGTAATAGCTGGTGAGAGGGTGAGTCAGCAGCGAAACAGAGCTGTGGAAATGGCAAATATCATCCAGGGAAGGCTGAATCTGGAGCAGGGAGGGCGCTGGGCCATTGTGCAGACACCGCTCTGGAGCAGCACCCCCAGTGCTGACCAAATCACTGACCCAAAATTGGGATAACTGCTCAGAACAGCACAAACAGCCTGTGTTATGAGATGAGAAACTCTGCCTTCCTGTGCTTATCTCCAGCTTCTAGGCACAGTGGAGAATTTGATTGCCATCTAGGATGTCTCTGGAGGGGATGATGGGTGAAAATGGCTGTTTGAGCCAAAAAAGCTGCTGCAGAAATCAGCCAGGGCAATTTAGGCTGGAAGAGATCTCCATTAGTTATTAGATGTAGTTTCTCAGCTGCTGGGACCACAGTGAAACCATTCTGGAAGAGTCAAAATAACGGAATACTTTTATCAGTTTAAATGCCTGCAAAGCACTGTGACTTGATGAAGAAGATGGGCCTTTTATTGTTGATTAACACAAGCAGAATTCAGGATTTCCACACATGAAGTCTATAGATATCAAAAGATAACATGCCTTAATAAAAACCAGTTTAGTGCCAACATTTTTACTGTTTAGCAGCCTCAATTATCATCCTCATTGGCACTGTGAGGAAATAAATTCTGACATTAAGTCAGTACCAGTGCCCTGAGCTTGGGCTGGGCAGGGACACGCTCATGGTCAGTTTTCCTCCTGAAATTGCTCTGTGAATGGATAAAAGATGTCATTGCCCTCTGCTGAAAACAGAGAGGCAAACCCAGCACCATTTATGAGCAGAAAAATTCACCCTGAGCTGAAATAAATACTGTACAGTGCATCCTTGAGAGCTCCCAAGGTGAAGGAAATACAGTGTAATTGTGGGTCAACTTCTTGTGTTAAAAATGCAATTCTGGTTGAAACCTCACTCTATAAATCTGCATTGGTCTTTAAATTCAGAATTGCCTTTCAAGATTACAGTAAAGAGTTTAATTTTCTTAATTAAATTTTCAGAACGCTTTGATTGTGCAGCAGCTGTTAGGCAACTACTTTCTTGTTCTGTTTTTTTACCTCTTTGTTTAATTATAAAGTTTTATTGTTGTCACTCTCCAGGAGAAGAATAATGATTTTTAGAATAAAAGGAATGTCATTTGCACATGAAGTTGTGATAACTTGCACAAATGATGTTAATGTAAGACAGATGTTGAGGATAAAAAGAAATGACCCTCAATTCCAGAAAGCTGGAGCATCATCTAAAATTYTTAATTATTCTTGATTCTTAAATATTCCTTACTGGATCTATTTGTTATTGCCATAAAAACATTCTATTTCTTGTCTGATCTGAAAAGATCCTCTCATTGTGMAAGGCTAATAATTATTATTTTTGACTTGTGTTTTAGCCTATAGAAATATTAAATTAATTATAAGAAACACTGAACACTCTGYAGTAGAGTCAGTCTCAAGCACTTCAGGTCTTTGTAAGTTCTTTGAGTCTGGATGTGTATTTATATATAAATATAATTGCACATGTGCATATTTATGTATKTATTTACATATATGAGTGTGTGTGCTTGATCACAGCAAACCCAGGCAGCTCTATGACTGCAAAATCAGCTTTATTTGAATTGAAGATTGATTTATTTGAAGATTGAATCTTGAGTTGCAAAGTTCCATTAAATAACATAAATCAAATCCCCAGAAGTACAGATTGTAGTCTAGAGTGCATGTAACATTTTAACAAGTTATTTTAAATATATATAGGTGTTGGCCTTGTTATTTCTGATGAGATGAATACATACATATGTAAGTGTATATATTTCTATATACACACATTTTTTGTCTGTTTTCATTCCAAATTGCATTTGCTTTTCAGGCATGATTTTTACATTGCACATATTCTGTACTATGGGCATTTTGATTTATATAGACCTGAATGTTAAGTGTGTGTTTTTAAATATATTCTTAGAGTACAGCTGACATATAGAATGACAATGAAGGATGGGACAGGAATTCAGATTTTTTTTTGATAAATAGAAATCTCTGTTAGGAATGGAGTTATCCCTTAGGAATGTTATAGGTAAAGTTTATTCTACCTTATGGCCTGGTGATGGACTACATGACCTTTCAAATTCTCCTCCAGCCCTATTTTATGATTCTGAGATCAATTCATTTTGGCATTTGTCAGCTATTGCACTTAGACTATAGATGATTCTAACGCCTTTACTTTTAAAACAAGTTGGTTTTGTTTTTGTTTTCGTTTTTTAATTTTCAATTTTTGCAATTGAAACACTTTAACTACATCTAAAATGTATTCTTATTTATTTRAAGACAGTGAAAATAAAGGATGTGGGTTTCATTTGGCTGTTCAGTGAGCACATGTTCTTGCCAGCCTAAAACTGGATTTCTGTGAGAGGTTACAAGGCTATAAGTTACTGCTCTTTTATATAAAGATATCTGAAGGTTTACATGCTGTTGATCCAAAGTTATTCYGTTAGTGGTAATAACTAGGAGATAATTCACTTCATTTGGATAATGAAATCCTGGTTCTCAAAGTAGTTTTAGCAGCATTCAGAAGCCTGGAATCAGATTATTCTTTACAGCATGTTAAAGTCATCGCAAGGTGTTCTTCAGCTTGCAAGTGTAATTTGTTCTCACAAATAGGTAATCTTGTTAAAATATTGTCAGGTTAATCAAAATTGATTTGCGTGCTCTAAACCCAGTGAATGCTAATCAGGTATCGGGTTAGGAAGCTTTAGCAGCAATTTTAAGTCTTTGATAGTTTCCCTTTATTCCTGGATGGAATGACTCACTGGATTTGTGGAAGCATTTTAGACCCTCAACACCTTTCCAAGGCTGGGTACAAATGTGCTACAGACTGAAGCACCTCCTTTAGAAATAGATTTTAAAATACCTGACAGTGGGAATCACTGTATTTATTATACTTTATGTGCAATGAATGAGTGCTTTGTCCTCTTGTCACTGTTATCTGTAACCATCTTGCCATTTTTCTTTTACAAATAATCGTTAAAAATATATTTAAGATTGTAATTTTAGCGTATTACATGGTGTATTTGCTGTGTAAGAGAATGCATTTAGAACTTCTGTACATTACATTTGAAAGATGATTCTGTGTAATTGTTAATTTGTAAGACGATACGGCGCATTTTTAAAAATAATTACACAATTATCAATAAAGGGTATATGGAAAATTGAAATGACAATGAACAAAATCTTCCTTTTCCCAGAGCCAGCAGGAGCTTTGCACTCTGCTCACACCCKTTAAAACTTACAACATCTTATTTTCTTTCAACAGAAAGCTTTTCTTTACAGACTACGGGAACGCTGCCAAGGTGGAGAGATGTGACATGGATGGAATGAACAGGACGTGGATAGTRGACTCGAAAATTGAACAGCCAGCTGCTCTGGCACTGGACCTCATCAATAAATATGTGTACTGGCTTGACATATATCTGGAGACTGTGGAAGTCGTTGACTATCAGGGGAGAAGGAGGCAAACSATAACTAAAGGCAGACAAGTAGGTRTTTATTTGCAAATTAATAAAAAGCAATTATGTCAATAAATYAATGCACATAATGCTAGCAGCTCCAGGATTTTGGTATTTTTTTCCCCCCTTTTTAGTTCAAATGTGTTAGACTTTAAAAGATCCACCTGCATGTTTTGGTTTATCTGCAGTTTAGSTTTTGCAGCCTATCAATGTTTCCATGCAGTGTCTCATTAACCAGGCACCAGGTAAATGGTTTTATTCCCCATTTGTAAAATGGGAAGATTTGGCCAATGAGTAATAATCCACATTTTCTCCACATTGTTAAAGACTTCAGGAGGAAAAATATGGGGTGGAAAGGTGCTGGGAGATAAATCATTAATTCCAAGATGTCCTTACCTGCTCAGGGCTAACAGGCACGGCAATGTGAAAGAAACAGAATAGCAAATTCACCCATTCCCACTCATCTGGATGCCCTTAAATCTTATTCTTATTGATAGCAGTGATGCTTTTCACAGTTAATCCCAATGTTCAGAGTCACAAATACAAACACTGAGGCTGTGTGAGTCTGAGCAGGAGAATTCCAATCCATTGGCTTGGAGAGTGGCAGAGTTCTCTGGCAGCCGTGTCACGTAAATCTGGGGAAAATCAGCCAAGACCAAACTGTTCTGGTCCCTTCTTGGGCTCCCAGAGCTGGTGTGGGCACCAAGTTTGCATCTGTTTCTGCCTGAGGAAAACAGGGAATGTAAAAATGTGCAAGCAGAATGAACAAATGAGCATTTTACCTATTGTGCTATCATTCTTTTCTTCCAAGTAATCACTGTTTACCAAGGGATAACTGGTTAGACTGTTAGCTAAAACTGGGCAGAAATGYGACAAAAAGCAGTGCAAGTGGTGGTTTGGCAAACACCATACTATTTTTTATCCTTCCTTCCACTTTATCACGTACAAGTCACAGTAGTGTGATGCCTACAACTCATGGATATGTCAAAATATTGAACTATAATAATAATAACATTTTTTTTTCTTTTCCAGGTGAGGCATCTTTGTGGTTTGGCAGTATTTGAAAACAATTTATACACAATTAATTCAGATAACCTCAGCATTTTACGAATAAACAGATATAATGGCACTGATGTTCAGGCTCTTGCTAGGCTGGAYGATGCTAAAGAGATCCGTGTGTACCAGAAAAGAACTCAAACAGCAGGTGAGATCACAAATCCTCTCTCTAGAAAACGTAAAACAAGATATAAAGTGGGTGTGTGGTTAAAAAGGTCCTGCTAGAAAAGTGTATCAGAAAATGGAGTGGAAATTTGTCATTGTGGCACAACCCTCTGTTGCTTCTGCCCAGTTTTCTGTGTGGTTGTTGCCACTTTTCCTGTGTCCCTAAGCTCCCAACTCAACTCTTTCTGGAGAATTCGGTTTGGAGAACTGCCAGAGATATGATGTGAATATCAGCTTTGCCATCTGTGAAAGAAATCTTCATTTTCCTCTAGAATGAAAAACTTTTGGTAATCTCAGAATGTTTTGGTAAAACAGGAGTTTCTGAGGTCCATAGTCCTGTATAACTGTCACATAATTTCGACATGGAGAAGAGTAGTGGGACTCACGGGAACTTTGTGCAAAGGTAGCAAGATCCAAAACGTTTACAGTGACGCTTTATGAGATTTTTTGATGTGACTGATAACAATAAATCGTTGCCATGACTGCTAGGAGAGAAAAGCCAACCCATCAATTCTCAGTGTCAATGTTACTAAACAGAATGACTGCTTCTGGAGAAGTTTCTGAAGTGGGAACAAACTCTAAATTGATGTAGAGTGGGTAAACTAATTTTCACCCAGGAGCTGGGGGCATTGATTTGCAGATGTCAATGTCGGAAKGAGGTTGCAAAGACTCTTTCTTTGCTATTGTCATCCCTCTCGTACTCCTGAGGSAGTCGGAGAGGTTGAGTAGAGGAGAGACATGAGCACAGTGTAATCTTTTATTACATCCTGTGATTACTCCACTACTCCTTTTGTTTTGAATGGACAAGTGTGTTGCTTGTCAAGATTCTCTGTAAAGGCTGTCACAGCTTGGTGGAGTTTCTGTATTACTTTTAACCATATCGACCCTAAACCATTTCAATGCTTTTAAAAAGCAAACAAACAAACAAAAAACAAAACAAAACTCAAAAGCTTGAGGTAAAGTAGGAAAAACAGAAAAGCATTTTTGGCTTTAAGCCAGTAAGGTAGCATGGTAGATTTGTTTTCTCAGCATATTGTCTTTAACTGATATATATATATATATATATATATATATATATATAGATATATATATATATATATATATTAGGCTGCTAATATAGAACTGTGCATTTGAAAAGATGAAATCAAGGGAAATGAATTCTTTGGCTTCTTCAGGTGGATTTATATCCAACTGTAGAAATCTGCACCCTTCCCTGGAACTGTTCAAGGCCAGGTTGGATGGGCTCTGAGCAGACTGGGATATGGAAGGTGTCCCTGCCCCTGGCAGAGGGTTGGGAATGAGATGGSCTCTAAGGGCCCTTCCAACCCAAACAATTCTGGGATTCTATAAATATGGAAAAATGCTACAAGGCTTGTTCAATTGTTTAGTTTCAGCACAGGTACCTGCCCAAAAAGGTGCTGTTTAATGGAGTGAATGATTACCAGACTGTGCTGGCCTGGGATGCCCTCTGTCCTCAAAAAACCCCAACCAAATGAACCAAAACAGCAAATCAGAAAGGGGAGAAGTGTCACCTCCCTGAGGSAAGTTCTGCCTGGCAAAGGCTGTGCAGGAGTTTATCCACACAGGGCTGATTGCACACAGCGATGGGCAGGGCTTGGGAACCATGAGATGGCCCCAGGCATCATTGGTGCCGCTTGGGTATCATCTTTAAAAAACACCTTCCTTAGCAGTTACAATCTGGGGAAAGATTTATTGTGACACAATTGCCATTTTTCCTTTTCTCTGTCTGCCCTTCCTGCATGCTGATGCAATGATTGTTGCTTTCTGAGCTCTGCTGTTTTCTGTTTGCCACAGTCAGAAGCCACGCGTGTGAAGTGGACCCGTATGGGATGCCGGGGGGATGTGCCCACATCTGCCTCATCAGCAGCAGCTACAAAGCACGGACTTGTCGCTGCAGGACTGGCTTCATCCTGGGGAGTGATGGCAGGTCATGCAAAAGTATGTSATTGAAATCAGAGAGTCATTCCAGGGTATAGTTCTGGGTGTTTTTTAGCAAATCCCGCGGGCTGCTTTGGGGGAAGATTTKTTTGTGACATGTACCTGATGCTTTGTTCATGTCCTCCTTTCCTCCCCTGAAATTGTTTGATTTGGCTTAGTTCATGGAAGGACAGATTAAACCTGGGATGCTGTTCAAAGAATACTAAAAATTACCATGAGTTTTACATTAATCATACTCTTTATTTATATATATATATATATTTTTTTTTATATATACCAGCTCACAGGTACTGGAATGCTGCTTAATAGTTTGTCACATCCGATTTCCTATCCATAAAATCATCTATAACATGAAAGCAGAACATTCATGAAAACGAGTCAAGATTTTTTTTCAGAATACTTTGGGCACTGAAAGAGCCTTGAAAGTTTTGGGGAATGCTTGTTTTTTTGCTGGTTTTTTTCAGTCAAATGGTGTTGATTTGTTTAAGATGAAAGACATGTAATTAGATACTTTGATGGATGCTGGTTGATGGATACATTTGACATCAAACCTGATAGTTTGCACTGACAATTCCATCAAAAAGCCCTGAGAGGCAGCAAGAAAAGTATATGGAGAAATTTAAGAGGTATATTGATAGCATTGAGCCTCTAAGGATATCTATTAATATCTTTAAAGAAAGTCACTTTACTAGGCCTCAGTTGTTTGTAATCAATTTAAGTTCATTGTAAAAATCTGAGGAATATGAAATATTGATATCCATGATTTTTATCTCAGTTGGAAAGAATAGAGTGTGTTGATTTGTTGTATTCCTTTCAATTTGAAAGAAATGTACTGTAACCTTTTGTGTTGTTTTTTTTTTTTCTGAGAAACAGTAGGTGGAAAAAACTGTTTTTCATATATGCTGGGGTTTTTAGTATTGTTAGACTTTACGATTACTTCACTTTTGGTTTATATTACCTTGATAGATCTTAATGAATTGTAAAGTTTAATTTCTACAGAACTATATATGTCCACTTCACAGCAGATGCAAAGTTATTCTGTGATCTGCCACTGCTTTTTCAGGGTGAACTTTTACACCAAAAAAAAAAAAAATTACTGAAGTAATTTGTATTTTAAATGAGGTAATGTAATTAGATTGATTTTTTTTCTTTTTTTTTAAATCTAGATACCTTCAGAATATTTGAAAGTTTAATTTTTGGTATTGAGTAAAGCTCCCCACTAATTATGCCAGTTAATTAAACAGGGCCATTATGCTCTGTGGAGAAGATTAGGCAGCATCAGTTGTTTATGTTTGTAATCTTTCTTTTGCAGGACCAAAGAATGAATTGTTTCTTTTTTATGGGAAGGGACGCCCAGGAATAATCCGGGGAATGGACCTGAATACCAAAGTGTCTGATGAATACATGATCCCCATAGAGAACCTGGTCAATCCTCGTGCTCTGGACTTCCACGCTGAAACCAATTACATTTATTTTGCTGACACCACCAGTTTCCTAATTGGACGGCAGAAAATTGATGGCACAGAGCGAGAAACAATCCTCAAAGACGGTAGGTGATGCTCAGGGATGGTGACATTCGGAGACGCTCACTACGGAGAAGCTGAACTGACATTTGCAGATAATTTAAAGTTTAGTTTAAATCTCCCATGGAAAACAGACTTAAATATGACCTTGAACAGAGCTGGAGATACCTTTTTACAACTTCCTGTTTGTTTTTTCCTGAGGGCAGGAATGTAAAGTTTGGTTAAGGCACTCTGTTGTGAATTCTTACTTTGTCCATTTAAGCTGTTGCCACTGGTGAGTAATTCCTGTGTCTCCACTGTGTCCTTCCAGTAGCGGGGTATTTGTTGAGCCATCCCAAATCCTTGCAGACTTTGTAAGGCTTCTTCRCTGCAGCTTGTATCACACTGTGGATTCTGGAGCTTATTCAAGTGGTTTGGCAGAGTGAGACTGACTGTAGTGCTGAAAACTCATTAGGAATAAAGCATTGTCTTTCCTGATGCATTTTCCATTGTGTATGTGCAAGCAACAGGAAGACCTAAACATCTATTAGAACCTTAATTAAGATGCTTGTAACATTTATTRCAGCAATGAGAGAAACTGCCAGCAGTTCTCCAGTTTCCACATCTCCCACTGCACAGAATCTCCCTGGTCTGGAATAATATCTCATCATACCAAACGTTGTTGCAGTGGAAAAAAAGCTTCCAGTTTGTCAATCGATATTTTGTTTTCCTTTATGGCCCCTCCTCTGAAATACTGCTTCAGCAGGAGGTAGCAACTGCCTCAGCTGAAATTCATTTTCTGCAGTAATTATTTTCTAGTCCTCAATCTAAGAAGCAGCATAAATATTCATCTTGGCCTTCAGAGAGCTTGAAATCTTCACTTGTGAATGGAAGCTCAGGACGGTGAAAGTAACTAAAACACCGTTGTTTCAGCAGGGGGATTTTCRTTCCCTGTCATTCATAATGCATGTTTTAATCCACCCTTTGCAGAAGCCATCTCCACTGTGCACTGATACGATGCTTTTTTTAGTGTAAGGTCTCTCCTCAGAGCCTGCACGAAGATCCCTTCAGCAGCAGTTGCAAGGAGTAGTGACAGGCTCTTTACCCTGTTCTGGTGAATGGTTAATAAAGGGCATTTGTCTCAGAAAATAACAAATACTCAGCTGTCAGCCTGGTAATTCTTCWTTTCACTGTAAACATGGAAATGGATATTGTACATCTCACATCTTCCATCACTRGCTTTCTTTTTCCAACTGTGCGTCTCATTTTACAAAGTAAAATGTACAAAGTAAAATATACAAAGTAATTCAAATGTGGAGCCAAGGAAGGAGTAAGAAAATATGTAAATTTAAACATTAGGAGGGAGCAGCAAGGAGCACCCTGGCTGAAAGGAGTCAGACAGGTTGGGGTCAGACARGTTGGGGTCAGAYAGGTTGGGATTAGTCTATTCAAACATGCAAACATGGTTAAACTTTCTATGCCAAACCAGAAAATTGGCGATACTCCTTTAATTAGTGTTCAAATGCAATGTTGACTCTTTATGAGTACAACACAGCAAAAATATCAATGCAACAATGAAAGAATTGTGGATTATCTGCTGATTTATTATTGGTGATGCTACTATTTGCAAAGGCCAAGAATATGTCACTGTCGTCTTCTCCTTCCCCAGGAGCTTACATTGGTAGTTTGAACTCTGTGCAGTTTCATAACTTTCAAGTATATTTAAAGAACATTTGTTAATGTATTTTTCATGATTTAAAAAATTAATATGGCCTCCAGCCATAACACCTCMGCTTTTATTCTTGTCAACTCTCAAGAACTCAGCAGGGACAGATTAAATCGTTCCTTGGTGGAAGGCTAGTGCAGAAAATCAGGTGTGTCAGGAGGTGGTTTAGTATTTGCTCCGAACAGCGTGCTGCTAAGGGCTTCTAGCTGTGCTAGGTGCCACTTCTCAGATTAGAAGTTGCTTTTTGGTGGCTATCAGGTTTTTCAAGAATGTATACACTCGTTCAGGCAGCATTGCAACTCAGATAATTACAGTTTGGCTACATGAGAGCCTGATCCTACCCGCTGTTGGCTGGGAATTGAGATCACTGAGCACCTCACGCTGCTGGAGTTTGATTTCCCATATAGTTACAGCTGTGATTTCTTATTCTTCACTTTGGGAAGCAAACTGCTGTGTAGTGTTGATAACTGTTTGACAGCCCCCAGCACAGCCCAGCTTAGAGCTGGTGGCACAGCTGCAATAGAACTGTACTTCCAGCAGCAACAGAACTTATAATTAACCTTTCAAACTTGCATGTAAAATCAGTCTTTTGCGTTAAAAATTGGAAAAAAAACCCAGACTTTTTCAATGGATCCAAATATTGTTCACTTGATGTTACATGAACACAAGTTCAGGGTTTTTTTTGCTTCTCTTTATACCCCTAATGGTATTTTTGGGGTGGCTGTGAGCCTGAAAGTCTTATATTATTTACTTGTAATCATTAATAAAGATGGTCAAGGCTAACCTGTTGTTTAAACAAGGCCCAAGTAAGTACTTTGGAAGCTGTTTAGATGGCTACTATATAGAAMAATTATTTTCCCACCATTTTTTTATGTGAATCTAGTATTTTAGGAACTATTATACATGACTTAAATRACATTGATGAGCTTGGCCATTCTGTACCAAATTACATGTTGTGCCTGTAATCTGTTCATTATTACTGTTTGTGGTAATATTCTGGTAGTAATTCCAGAATTACAAATGTTAACTTCTTAATTAGCAAGGGAAGAATGACCACAAGAGTATTTTATTATTATTTTATTATTATTTTTATTAATTATTACTATTATTATCATCATTTTATTATTATTATTTAGTATTTTATTATCTCCTCCCTTTTATGCTGAAAGGGCTTTACTGCACAACAACTGTTTTGCTGTAGTCAAATTTGTTTCACCAGAATGGCAGAATAACCTTTATTTTGTTCCTGTTTACTACTTGGTGTGAAACCCATTTAAAAAACAAGGAATGTATTTAATTTTAGACAGTGAAATAAAAGTGAACTTAAAATTATAACTCCACAAAAACAATGAAAATTATCTCTGTGTGTTTGTGCTGTAGAATTCTCCATTTTTTTTAAAAGAAATTCGGATGTAGTTAGTACTTAGTTACCTTGAGCTTTTTTGAATTAGATTGCATTTAATTTAGAAATACAAATGCCCCAAAAGTACTGCAGAAGTCAAGGTAGCTCAGAGACAGTAGCTATTATATTAAATATAATGAGCACTAGTCTTATAACAATATTTTAGGAGGTGTCTACCATTCTAATCTAACAAGTCTTTTTGCTGCTGATACCACTACAGCCCATAGTTGGACTGGTTTGACTCCCAGAAAAGCAAAAACATAAGCAAAATATTTTCATTTAAAAGATGATCTTATTGATACAAAAATCTGATCTTACTAGTATAAAAACTGTGTTTAGCCCAAATTGCCTAGATCAGACAGGGTAAAAATAGAATTGGTTTTGAACAAATTTGAACTTTGTCCTCAAGCTTGACTTTACTCGTGTCAGTGTTTTCTGGGTTGAGCAATGTCTGCTGAGGCCTCTCAGAGCTCCAAAGGACAATTTTTCCCAGCCCAAGTTCATCTGTGTTGCCTGTTCTGTTCTGCAGTTTTTCCCTGAGCCTTGGGCTCCAGGTCCTGGCTGAAATTCTCTCTTCTTTTCCCTTTTGTTCTTTGAACTTYTCTCAGCATCCTTGACCACTCCAAGACCAAAGGCCACTCTCCTCTTTCAGGAACTTTCAGCTGCCTCTGACATTGTCTTTTCAAAAGAATGCAGCGAAGGCACTGAAAGATTAAAAATAAAACTGGCAGTGTCCACCAGCCTGGGAAACCTGGCTGAGCTGCTGGCGCTGCTCTCAGACACTGCCTGACCCACAGATGTTCAGTACTTGGGGGGATTCTTGTCAGACCAGGTTGTTGCTGGGTTAAAAATGTCATCTTTCATAGTTTCATGTCCTGGAGAGCTCATTCTGACATCTGCTTCCCTCAAGTTTCTTAGATTAAAAGGAAAAATAATTCCCCAAAAGTGCAGTGATGTTCAAGTATCAGAAATAGGGATAAAAATGTTAAAACACATTTTGCAAGGCTCAGTATGTACTGCTTTTTTTTTTTTTTTTTTTTTTTTTTTTTTTTTTTTTTTTTTTTTTTTTTTTTTTTTCCCTAGTAACTTTCTTATATTGTGTCTCTCAGGATGTATTGTCATCTCTGTGATTGATTTGCAAAATTTAGGTGTAGTTTCTTAGGTGAACAAGGTTTAGTTGATGCTTTGGTGAGTACCAAGTATCTGTAAGATGCTTTGGACCTCCAGCAGATAAAGGAAAAAAGCAATTTTTAAAATATGACATGGATATCACATAATAAATAGTGAACATGTTTAAATATAGAGCATAAATAGCAATAATCTCTTACTACTGTCTTCTGTCTYTCAACAGATCTTGATAATGTGGAAGGCATAGCAGTGGACTGGATTGGAAATAATCTTTATTGGACCAAYGATGGCCACAGGAAAACAATTGCTGTTGCCAGGCTGGAAAAAGCTGCTCAGAGTAGGAAAACTTTATTGGAGGGAGACATGTCCCACCCTAGAGGAATCGTTGTCGATCCTGTCAATGGGTATGGAGCAAACTGAGTTTTCTTTAATAATTGTTTCTGTGGCATAAGTACAGGATGGAATTTGCTCAGGATGAGGTTTGTAGAGTCATGTAGCAGACTGCAATCCTTCAGGAGTCTGTAGGATCTGGAATTCCTGTCCAGCACTCTCGCCTGGAGAAAAAAATTCTTCAGAAGAATTTGTATGCCTGTCACTGTTGAGTGTCTGTCCTGTTAATCTGAATGTGAGTCACCTTTTCCTCAAACAAATTGAGGGTGCAAGTCCTGTATGAATTTTTTAATATTAAGCGAATTTTAAGATGCTCTTCTTTATGTCCCTCTCTGCAAGTCACAGTTTCAGAGATAATTATGATCATACCCTTGTACACGGTGGTTTACAAAACTGAGAGAGGTCATTTTCATTACTAATTGGCATGAATTAATTTTAAACTATATAAACTATTTAATTTGACTAGTCTGCATAAAAATATCCTCACACTAATATACCGTGGTACAATTGTGGTTTACTTTAAAATTCACTTAAATGTATTCAGGGGGTTGTCACCGGAGAATGCTGTAGGTGGGTGGTTTYAGTGTGATTGATTGCTATTTTCCCATTATAGAAAATATTTACACTCTCAGAGTACAAACCCCTTTGAGGAGGGGAAGAGACTGTGAAAAGGCTCCAATTCATTAAGGTCAGATAGTGAGGGTATAAAATCAGACCACGAACCATAACCACACCTGCAATTACTCTGTTACATTTTCCAGCTCAGTAAATTCATGGCACAGGAAGCAGTGTATGAAGATGTATTACCTGAAAAGGRCCATTATATAAAACACTTTTCTAATAAAATAGCATGTCCTTTGTGATTATATTTCTCATGGAAGCGCTTCCTGAGGGATAGCATTTATTATGGCTTTTTAATTGTGTTTCAAAAATTTTAGTCTTGATTTAACCAGTRTTGGAGCATTAACTGCATTTTGAGATAAATTAAAGCACATTGAGGTAAATGTCTGTCACTGTGAGCACGTTTTAGCTTATGACAGGATAACTGGAATAAGTAYAGACAAAAACTTAATGGGGAAAAGGCTCAATAATTGCTGCTGAGCAGTCATGTAAATATTTGTAAAACATGTTTTGTCTCCCAATAAAATGGGTGCCATTCTGACCTGCATCTGCCTGAGCCTCAGGGAGTGTGCAGGGTTTATAATTCTGTGATTAAACCTTGTGTTGAGTAAAACATGCAATGAGGTTTGTGAGGCTCATGGATCAAAACTTGACTGATGTTCTTAGGCCATATTTAAAAAACATTAAAAGAACCCAAAACAACTTTCTAAAGGGTGATTTGAGAGAAATGAGTGAGAAACAAAAAGCTACATTCACATATTTGCAAACCTGTGTAATGATGTGCATTTTTCCAGTTTCTCATCAAGTTATGCTTATACATAAAAATACATTTGAATATTTTTTTTGGCCAGTAGATTTGACATCATTTACACAGCTGTGATAATAAGATTGCTAGAGGCATTCACACATATTTTTTTTTTTTAACTTTTCCAAAGTAGCATTGAAACAAACAAAACCCACAACACGTTGCTGCACTATAAGTCATAAAACTATGCTAAAATTGCCTACTGGCTATTTTTCAACAAATTTTTACAGCCACTATTTCTAAATATTTTTCTGATGGACAAAGTAATAAAATAACTGTGCTCATAACAGTTTTCTGACTAATTTGGCTGCTTTCATGTTGGACCTGAAGTTCACACAACATCAAGGTTATCCTTTGGCTCTAAAACCAGAGTGCCAAAAATTACTGTGTTGCAACTTGTTTGGTAGTATCAGGCATAATCAAAAGGAGATTTACATCATAAAGGCAAATTAGGCCTGGCCAAAACCATTTCAGTGTAAAAATTTGAACTTGATGCAAAAGTCAATTCAAATGGTGATTTAAAAATAAATAAATAAATAAATAAATAAAAAACCCCACAACGAAACAACCAACTGAAACCATAATTCTGGTGGGATTAAATAAGGTCTTTTTCTTTCACTTTTCTTTTGTATGGACCCATCTGTTATTCATGTAATTCATGTCACTATGGGCAAAATAACAGAAGAGTGACTTTGGCAGCATCCACTAGACACAGACAGCAAATACAGGTGTAGAAACAACAGTGGAATGAAACGTACAAAAGTCAAAATTGCTCTGAAAGTCTACGATGCAATTCACCTGATTGAAATGAAATCTGATCTCTCACGTTTGTAATTTCCTAGCTGGATGTACTGGACAGACTGGGAGGAAGATGAAGTCGCTGACAGCGTGGGAAGGATTGAGAAGGCCTGGATGGATGGCTACAGCCGGCAGGTTTTTGTCACCTCCAGGATGCTCTGGCCCAATGGGYTGACTCTGGACCATCGTGCCAATGTGCTCTACTGGTGTGATGCCTATTATGATCACATYGAGAGGATTTATTTGAATGGGACTGACAGAAAGGTAAAAGGGAAATGCTGCTGTTTGGCCGCAGGCATGTTTTTTCTCCAGATTTTATTGTGTTATGTTGAGAGTACTTCCCGAGGTTTTTAGAGTCTGCACAGCCCTGCAGAGTGTCCAGGTCACCTCTGGTGGATCTTGGCAGTCTCAATGAAAGGCTGAAACATAGTTTAGGGTGTTCCTCTGTACTAAGTGACACCAAACTTGATTTTTATTTAATTTTTTTTAATCTGTTTTTTTTTTTTTATTATTATTTTAATTTTTTTAATCTGTTTTTTCTCATGTGACAATGAGTTCCATTTTGATCGAGCCATGAAGTGACAAAAACTTTTTCACTAGGAAAAAACATTATTTAGGATTTGCCAGAGAGAGTCTTTCCCTTGAAGTTCACTGAAGAAGCTGTTTTTGATGAATATCTGTGCCTCTTTAGAGGATTTCTGTTAATATTCAGAAGGGCAGCACCCATAAAATGCTGTCAGAGATGGAGAGAAATTGCTTTAGTTGCTACTAATACCTGTACAAGCTGGATACAAGTCTTGTAGAAATTCTGAGTGGGATTGTAGAAGCAACAAGCACAGAACAAGACACTGAAAATGGTTAAAGCTTACTCTACAGTGATTATTTAAGGAAGGTTTACCATCTGCTTCATAAAATTAGTGACTAGTGAATAATAAGAAGCACCTGTGTTTACAGATTTTTTTTTTGAAGCGTGTCACAGAATTTTTTTTATTTTTTTAAATCTTGTGATATAAATAAATTTTTATATAATATACAATAATATATAATATAAAATAATATGTAATATAAAATAATACTAAAATAAAATAAGTACTTGAATAAAATTTATGTAGAAATAACTAGAAAGAGACTTGCTTTTTATGCCTAATCATTTGCTTTTAATGATAGGATATTTTGGTCAAAGTTTAACTGGATCAATCACATCTTTAACTCTGTGTCAGTACAGTGAAGATTTTAGGGGGTGGGGAGGTCCTTAATTCCACCAACAGCTGTCAGATAATTGACTGATTGATTAATTGGATCAAAAGGAGTTGACTGAGTCCACAGAGACAATCTGGAGGGCAAAAGGATATGATGTTTGTCAGCCCAAATTGGTGTTTGGTTGGCTTTATCTTCCTGTTCTCTTAGGTTTGTGTCTCTAAATAGACAAGGGAGGAGCTGTTTCCTCCTCTCTTTAGAGAAGGTAGGAATTGGCTCTTGGGCCTTAGTTCAAGGAGGATCCCAGCCAGAAGGAGGAGATCARTCATTCCAAACTGCAGCTGATGGGGTAGAGTCATGGGATCAGAGAATTGTTTTTGTTGGGGAAGGCCTTAAGATCTTCAAGYCCAGCCCTTAGCCCAGCACTGCCACGTTCCCCACTAATCATGACCCTAAACCTCACATCCCYGTGTCTTTAAATCCACCCAGGGTTAGTGACTCCACCCCTTCCCTGGGCAGGTGTTGCTGGTTATCTGATGGGGGCCAATTAAGTGAGTATATATAAAGTCTTTTGAAGAGCTTGSTGCTCCTAGTTTAATTTTATTGCCTTGGGTTGGTAAGTTTGGGACAGTCTCAGTTTTCCTATTTCCTGGAAAATTAATTTTTTTTTTTTTTAACCTTGTATTGATGCTCACCTACCCCTTATTAATTGCAGGTGGTCTACAATGGAAAAGATTTGAATCATCCTTTCGGGCTATCACACCATGGAAATTACATTTTCTGGACAGATTATATGAATGGGTCAATTTTCCAGTTGGACCTGGTGACAAGGAATGTGACACTGTTGAGAAGTGAGAGGCCACCTTTGTTTGGGCTCCAGATTTATGATCCACGTAAACAGCAAGGTATTTATGCAGTTTCTCCATAGGTCTGTTATAAAAAGTTATTTTTCCTTATAGTCTCCGAGTGTTTTGAGGTGGCTGGATAAACAAAAATAGAAAAACAACAATTACTTGTGGCAGGAGAAAGATAACATCCAGCATTTCCATGCATTGATGTAGAAATTGATCCTCTCATAAATACTGAAAAGTGAATCATGGCATTATTCCTGTCTGAATTTCTTCTGTGCATTCACATCGCCTTTATTGATCTTGTTTTTCTTACATATCCAAGAGATGCTGTTAAAGTATCAGTTATGGTGGGTAACATATGGGCTTTGCCTCACACTGACATAAAATATATGATTGCATTTAACTTTTYGTAAATGAGATCATAGATCCTGTCTGTATTTTCCTTTTTTAAATTTTCTCCCTCATCCTGGTCTATGTCAACACTGTATGTTGCAGAGGGTAAGAGTTAGCACTTCTTTGAGAGTCGTGGAAAAATCCATAGTTTTGCTGCTTGTTTTAGCAGAGAAATGAGATAAAAGCCATAGCTTTGCATGGATGGAGTTTAGAAAATGCAATTGCTGCTATACAGGTAAAGTTAAAAATCTGTCTTACTGAAGAAAACAGATTTACTAGATACAGCATTCATATGAGTTGTTGAGTGTTTGCTCTCTTTAGTGAAAACATATATCTGGGTAATGTCTGCTACCAAACATARAAATGATCTTCAGGAATTAGTATAAATAAAATWCTGTTTRAAAKATGRTTGTTTTACYRTTTAACAGTTTCTCTTTYGTGGTAYTTTAGTATCTAAATTTCCAATACCTGAACCAATGTAGTGTTTGTAGAACTGTTCTGTGTCAAGGTTGTTATAAAAGCATTCCCTTTATCACAGATGCTTTTCAGGSACTCCCTCTTACTTTCAAAGATATGCAAAAGTACAGTTTGTTTGGGCTTCTTTTCTTGAATTATTGTGGGTTTTGTTTGGTTGGTGTTTTTAAATCCACCCTCAAGGTGGCCAAATTTCTGAATACTGTGTCTGCTAATAGAAGTAGCAGTGTTTGTTTTCAATGCTTCAATACTTCTGCTGCTTTTTCCAGTACTTAGAAAGTTCCTTTATTTTTTTAGAAAAAGGGACATTTAATGCAGTTGCTGTTAGCTTCCAAATAAGCTGACACCAGAGGGAGAAAGTATTGCCTCTTAGACAGTTTTGCTGAATGAGCTGGAGTCTTAAGGGAGAGAATTTGGCTCATTAATATATTCTTTGTTTGAAATTGTAATTGGAATCTTGTAAGCTAACTGCAGCCTTTGGGAACCTCCCTTTTTGTCATGCTCAGTGAGGTTGATCTCGCCATTGTTCCCATAGGAGCATAAAA